TTGGCCTAGGCGAAAGTCGACCCGGGATTTGAACCCGGCATCGCGACACCCGCAGCATCCGCCGCGAGTGCGTAAGCACGCCACTTGGGTCACTGCACCACCCCGCGACAATGAATATCACCATGAACTAGTGAACAGATGAAAATACACTTCCGAGCCTTTCTGACCGTGCAAGCACATCTACCTGCACGAAGGAAGCCCTTTCTAGAAGTTGCACCTTCCCAATAGCTCTGCGTGAAAGCGCTATGCATGGCGCAATGCAGAGGTGATGCCAATTGGCGTCCAACGAACTATTTCCTGGTATCCTTGGCAAAAACATGCGTTTTAGAAGCATACCAATGTCTTAAAGCCAACTGGAGATTTTCTGGCGTTCGAGGGGTTGATTTTTCGGGCCATGGGGAGTGATTTTTCTATGATCACAAGAATAACAGGCCTAGGGATAAAATGAAAGTTCTTGCTGGAAAGTAGAAAGCTTCATGCTTCCGGCACAGTTCTTTTTTTACGAAAGGCCGTGTATGAAGCTTGCCATGGATGTCCAAAGCGTAGCGACTTGTGGTTGGCCCCCATGATCACGCAAGGGTCACAACGGGGAAAATTTCTAGAAAAGAAATGTTTTTGAAATCGCTCAAACTCAGGTAACAAGAGCCAACCTAGCTCCACTCATTCCCACTTTCCCCTCTCCGAGAGCTTTACTTTCAACGAAGTTATGGGTGTTCAAAAGAGGGGTACTTTTCGAGTGTTTGGCTTGAAATTGGCTCCAGGTCGTAAAATAGCGCGCACCAATGCGCTTGTATTAGCGCATGTATTGGGGTTCGCGTACGGATGACCGCGAACAACTAATATCCAAAAACTAATGCATAGTTCCTAGTATCTGGTGAGTTTTTGTCGTTTTTTTTTTCAAAATTTAGATCTCTTTTTTGCTTCCTAGTAGTTTTTAAGGTTGTATTGTTGTAGTATTTGACATTATCGAACAGCTCCTACCACAGTCTTGCCGAAATCAGGCCAATTTTTTATCGATTTTTTTCTAGAGGGGCAGATTTGGATGGAAATTTGTTACAGTGGTACTTCGACCTCCTGAACATGAATATCACACCCGCTTTGCCCAAAACTTTTCATCGATTTTGGTGATTTAGGGTATTTTGGCGCCGCGCCACAGGCGCCGGGGCCAAAATACCTGAATCACCAAAATCGATGAAAACTTGTATACGGGGGTTATTTGACATCCTGATTACGAATATGATATTTATTCTTGGCGCCAGCGCTAACGTAGGACACTATGGTCATCTGCGCTTTGCTAAGACTGAGCCTGACCTGCGGGAAATCTTCCCTTTTTCTCAGTTTCAGCCTCAGCAGAGTGCCAAATAGCGCTGGTATGGAAAATGATGTCAGACTCGTGATCAGGACATCGAATAACATCTATAGACAAAGTTTCAGCATAAATTTTTTTTGTTCTTGGCGTAGGAATAGCTTCAATAGCGCCCAGTTCTCTTTATTGTCATTTTCTTCGTCCCTTTTGCGCATCTTTTCATTTGTACCCTCGTGACAGGGGGGGGGGTAATTCAGCGGGAAAATCGAGCATCAAGCAATGGCTGTGCCCCTGTTGCCAGGGAGATCGCAAAGCAGCACAGTTGCTCTGTGTTCTGGCCCTCGTCATCACCTTCAAATCGGACTTTGCAAAATGAGCACACCTCAAACGTCATCCACATCAGGATTTTGTATTTCTGTAGTATTCTAAAGTGCCCAATACATTAATTACAAGACTTGGCAAAGTGCCAGGAGTACTGCGCGCGACACGCGGCGCGCGGCCGCGGTCAGTATGGATTGGCATCGAGAGTCTGCGTGCAAGTTGGGCGGAGCATAGAGGAACTAGTCTATCTCACGGTCCCGGATCCCCATCCCCGCGCATGTTCGGGCGGGGGAATCGCTACGCTTCGACAGCTGGGGCCCCGTTATCCCCGGACATGCTAAGGACAGCTGAGCGTACGTTGTGTCTTTAAACCGAGTTTCCCGAAAGCAATAGTTGCTTCTATTTCATTAAATTTAGTGGGCACATTCCACTATAACCTGTATCACCTGTGCTCCCGTTGATCAAAAAGTTGCTTCGAGAGGGCGCCAGTAACACCCTTCGTTTCGTCCAACGTGCTAGAGTTGCCCAATGGGTTCTCCCTGCTCGGTGGACACGATGAACATCACACCATTTGTTCAGAGCTTTCAGGAAAAAGTCGCGCGTAGGCGGTCGTCCAGGTGTTCCCTTGACATCCCGTAGAATCCAGTCGCTGATCGCTCTAATCCAGCGGTCGTCTTCAATGCGCATGAAGGCCCGGCCCATCTGATCTTCGAAACCTTGGGAAATGAGGCTACGTCCCTGATCTTCGATTTCGTAGTCCACGTCTCTGAGGCGTAAGTCAAAGCAGGGAGATCCCAAGGTCGATGGGGCGGGCCCGGAGTTAGGTGTTCTGGAGTAATTCAGCTATTACTACTCCAAAAAACTCTACGAACGTTTCCGCTGTTCCCTGCGCACAAATACACCATTTGGCGGCACCACCTACTAATCAAAACCGATGAAAACTTGCACACAGAGTTGTTTTGACATTCTAATCACGAACATGATATTCATTTTTAGCGCTGGCACCAATTAGCCCAATAGGCGAAATTTGGCGCCATCGCCTTTCACACCGAAAATAGATGCAAACTTGTATACGGAGAACATCTGGTGACATTCACTCTTGACGCGGGCACCAATGTAGGGCGCTCTGCAAAGACTGAGCCTGGCGGGAAGGGAATAACTCCCTCTCCCAGGCTCAGCCTTTGCAAAGCGCTGCATTCTGGTATCGGGGAATAAATGTCATTGTCGTGATCAATTATCACAGGGCACATCATTGGTTGGGGATTTGGTCGAGTGCGTCCCTCTCTTTTTGGAAGAGGAGGCTGACACGACTCCAACTCTTAATACGACCCCCACTTCCTCCACCATCCTCACCACTTTCCTCGGTTTTTCCAACTTCATACAACTTTTTCCGGAATCGGAATTTCCCCGAAAATTTCCGACTTTTACCCAAAAATTTTGCTTTCGAGCGGGAGGGGGGATGGAGAATCCTTCTCACCTTAAATACGACCCTCCCCCTCCCAGTGACCAAATACGATCCCCTGTCGGGGAATCCTCAACAACGATGTACCCCGGTTCATCAGCCAGCACTATGTATTATGAAAGTTTTCATAGATGTTGGTGAGATATGTGATCGCATCGAATCGAGGCCCTTTGGCGCGAAGGGGCGCCAGCGTCAAAAGTGAAGGTCATAACCGCGATCAGCACCCCGAAAAACATCTATACGCAGAGCTTCGGCGAAAAAGAAACACTTTCGAGTTTTTGTGGTAATAGTACCTTTTAGTGTTCGCGCGCACTACGATCGCGATGTGGCGAGGGCGTATGTATTAGGTTGTTCGGAAAGAAATGCGCGTTGAATTTGTCCATTTATTTCTCTCCTACTGCAGAAGATTTTTAAACAGTTTTGCCTGTTAGAATGAGATTTTATTTTTCATCTTTTGATATATTTTTGTCTACGTCTACTTTCTTTTTTTTGAAGAAAAAAGGTACTTCTTCTCTTTTCTTACTGCGTCATAAAGATGTCGAAACGACGTCGACAAAACTCCTCCACGACAACGCTCGTCCACATGTCGCGAAAATCATTTTGGAAAAAACTGAGGAATGAAACTGGGACCATCCGATTACCATCTGTTCCGGTCGATGCAGCACTCCCTGGCCGAAAGAAAGTTCACAAACCGCGAAGAAGTCCGACTCTGGGGGTCCAATTACATTTGAGTCGCAGCCAGCCGAGTTTTTCGGGAGGAATCCCCTTCTTTGCGTAAACGTTGGCAACAAGTCATTGATAGTAATGGAGATTATCTTTTGAATTAATCTTGTTTAATTTCGTTTTTATAATAAAAAATATTTTAACCCAAACGCGCATTTCTTTCGAGCAAGCTAACTGAAGCGGACTTATCACACTTCAAGGTTGTTCCACTAAGAAGGCCAGAAGAGTGCGATAAAAGCCATGACCATGAATCCCATTAGGTCCCCTCACAGTACAACAGATGGATCCGAGGTTCTCCGACATGACATTAATGAAGAAGAGGGAGTGCACGCACGCTCACTGACTCTAATGTCCTATTGCGTGTTGTCGATTACTACTATTTAGATATCTTTATATCAGAATCTTTTTAAATACAATCGAAACAAAACCAAAACCGCGTTCAATTACACAACAAGATCATTCAGCCGGGAAACCGTGGAAACGACTTACTGTGGTTGCAATCGCTCCTCGAAGATCATACGTATCAGCGACTACCACAGCTACTGATTAAAGTACCAAATAGTAGTGTACAACAACGACAAAAACCTATCAGTAAGTAAGATGAAAGTCAAGATCAACAAAATCACGCAGTAGAAAACTTTTGCATCATATTCACGAATCCGCTGCCACAGTCGCTGGCTCATCCTTCTTTTCTTCAAATGGGCTTTGCTTGGTTTCAACCTGTGAGTGAACAAAAAGCGGTGCACTTCAACATGGTCTAGTCCCGCGGCAACGTAGTTAGAACACCATCGGTAAGTGGGGAGGGGAGGAGGCACACAGCAGAGCGACGATGCCTGCTCTACTAGACAAAGGGCGACGACCCTGGCCGTTTGCGCAGTTTGCTAAGCCTGAGCCTTGGCGCTGGAGGAAGCGTAAGTAGCGGCGCTGCTGCGTGCCCCACACCCCCTCCCCCCTCCCTATCTACGTTAGCAACGAAACTTTCCTTACCTACTCGTAAGAAAAAAAAATAAATACTCTAAAAGCTAACCTTTGGATCATCCGAGATTTTCGAGAAAAGGTTCTTGTACCTCTTCTTGTCACGCTCCAGTTGTTCTTTCATCATCTGACGAACGACGAGGATCTGTTGAGCTGCAGCCTGCACATGCACATTTTTAGAAGTAGTGCTCGAAAAAATATAATACTTAGAGACTAATAATCTGCCTTATTCTCGGGATCGATCTCTAAGATCTTCTCATAGATCTGCTTTGCCTCCTCAAAATCAGATAGAGCTGCTCGTGCGCCAGCTTTTCGATAAAGAGCTTTCACGTTGATTGGTGACAATTCTAGCGCCTTAAAAACACGTTCTTGAAAGAAAAAAAAGCCATACGATAGAAACGATAAACACACCTTATCGCAATACTTGATACAATCCACATTTTCACCCATTTTCGATGCTGTCAATGAAAGATTCAAATAAGCGGCGAGCATCAAATCGTCACGAATCTGAAATGTTAGGGGATATTTACAGGAGGGAACTCAAACAATCCAACGAATGCGAGGAGGAAAAAGATGGCAATTTTTGCCACATCACACCAGTCCTTAACTCCTAGGAGAATATGCCTAGCCTGCAGTGCTTCTCCAGTGAAGGGATCCCTGAAGAAGCATTCCATCTACAAAAGAAGGATGCAGGAAAGATGAAAATTACTTCACTCCATAGTGGTTTCAGAAAGAGTATCCACAAAACAAAGGGGTGGGGGAGGGCGGGTGGGGGGGTGGGAAAGTGACGACTTCCACTCGTTTTTGTAGATGCGGGGAAAAAAATCGCAGGATCGAAAAGAATTGTGGAGAACTCCTTCCAATCCCTACAGCGAAATGTCCAGCAACGGTCGCTGACCTCATCAAACACAACGTGGCCCTACAATTCTCCTGGATTTTTCCGTGAGGGATTCGAGACCGCCTTGAAGGGAAGAAGGTGCTCCCCCGAAAATCCAAAAATTAACGCTCTCAAGGCGTGCCTCTGGAAAGCTCACAAGGGAACCCCAACAGGTCGATCCGACCGTTTTCAATAAGATGTATATAGATGGACCTGCCTTGAGTCGTTGAACTCAAGCCGCCCTCGAAATTTGCGGAACGATTCTCTGAAGGGAGTTACGGACCATTTATTCTCTGCGCTCTTCGCACAAGTTCGGAAAGTATACCACATGTGCGAGCGGCTGGGTGCAGTGGATAAGGGCATTTTTAGAGGAAATAGGTCGCATGTTGCAATCCTTGACCCTTGCAAGCTTTTGCTTTTCTTCGAAGCACCACATATGAGCCCCGAAAACACTTCTGTTCAGCTAATTTACCTAATTCTTTAAATTATTGACAGTAGGAGGATGCAAACTCTCCTTTTTGTTCCTATTGAGAATTTCGATATGAGGATGTCATGTTACCAGAAGCTGCGTGAAGAAATAAGGTTCTTATCGTTCAAAAGCACATGTGGTATTCTTCCACGAATTGATGGAACCAAGTTCCCACAATGAGCACTGCGAGTAGAGAAGTACTTAACACACGGTCATGTTATATTAGGTCATCCCTCAAAAGTGCCGAGACATATTGAGGAATGGTAGAAAAGCAAAGGGGATAGGACAACGGGCCACTATACCATCTGGAAATTAGTACCTTAGGCTACGCATCTGTGAAATTTGGCGAACCTAGCCCCAGAAGTTCTCGAGAAATTGAAAAGAAGCCCGAGTGGTGAAAATCGGCGCCGGTTTTTCAAATCAGACGTCATAAGAGGAAAGTGCGCTGCTCAAATTTGACCTGCGCCGGACCATAGTTGTGTGTAAGGGTGTTCTCGAAATACACGGTGGAAGATTTGGTTCAGGAGCCCGTACAAGGAAGAAAGGAAAAATTTGTTGTCGTGGATGGTCCCATAATATTCATCCTGCACAAGAAAAAAGGGTGGATGAAGTCAGGCACTGAATATCTGATCACAGAGCCTGGACCCTTGTCGAGCTTCCTCCGCGAGTCTGACATCCCAGCTGCAACTGCTGCCCGAGTTATGTCCGATAAACTGAGGATGGTCAAGAGGGTGGCGCATGGGTACCTAATTTTCTTATAGAAGCACAAACAGTACCGATTCTATACCTCTAGCAGTAATGTTCTCAGCATGAGATGTCACTCACAACTGTGAAAACGCACCCAGGCCTTAGATGAAATATGGGTGGTCTCGGACCTCGAGCCGAAACTCACAATCGTCAATTTTGTATGAATGCAGATGAGAAGCCGCCCGAGTTCTACCATGAAGAGTTAGCATGTCGTGGGGCGCAAGTGGATGATCATCATAGCAAAGGATTCCCACACTGTGGCTTTCAAGCGGCTCTATACAGAGAACAAATCCGTCACTGTCGGTGCATATTGCCTGTTCCTCGGCATTCAGATCGACAAATGGATGCTACCACACAACTACAAGAAGGTCACCGTTGCTCGTCATAGTACCGGACACCGAGCAACAACTGTACTTTGTAGATCACTGCTGGCGAACACAAACAATACTGCAGACTGGGTTCGACTCGGCCCCATTCGCCGTCATAAAGCCATGCGATTACAACTGTTCTATTCAGTTGAGAGTACTCTCCAACGACAGACGCTACAATGCATTTGCCGAAATTGGCAACAACAGCAATTTACCCACACTTATTGAAAAATCGAAGGTACCAGAGGTCCAAAGGCCCTCGGGGCACTGGGAGCGGGTCATTGGTGAAGGAGGGATTTACTCATCCTAAAGCTAAAATATCACTTTTCTATCTATTCTCCTCTTTGTTTTTATATTAGGTTGGCTAATAAGTAATGGCCGTTTTTTTCAATTGAAAAATTTGTTCGAAAAGTGAAATGTTTTGCAAGCAAGTTATATATCATCTGATAGGAAACTTCTCGTAGTATAAGAATATCAAAAAAGCTTTGGTTGAGGATATAGTTTTTGTGAATTTTTTAGTCGTTGAAGTTGGAAGTGAAGTCGAAAATTAGCATCTTCGACAACTGCCTCTATTTACGTCTACTCGAAGTGCTAAAATCGCTTAAGCTGCTCCATACATTCGGAAAAGGTTGAGGTAGAAGTCTCAGCAAGGGAATCTCAATAGGACGCTTTGGAACTAATTTCAAGAATTTCAAAGTTGGCAACCTTGCCAATATTGGGCAGGCTCACGTCTGTTCCACCTGAAATTTCATGCTAATAGTTGAATTAATTGAATTGAATTTGATATTCTAATACTACGAGAAGTTTGCTATTAAACGATATTAAGCTTGCTTGCAAAACGTTTTCACTTTTGAACAAATTTTTCAATTGAAAAAACGGCCATTACTTATTAGCCAACCTAATATAAAAAACCAGCGCGGAACGTTTTGAATGGGATGACCTAATAGTTCCCCATCCGCCCAGAGGGAAAGCAACACTAAAGAGGTGTATCGAATGCAGCCTGGGTGTGCTCCGAAGTACCCAGCCGAATACCAAGGATAGGACAGGACGACGATGAATAGAATCCCTTGAATTGACTTTGAAAATTTGTAATAGTAGTTTAGCCTCTGGGAGCATCTATTCGCTGTGCTCATTGTGAGGATTTTCTGTGTTTTCGTCATTTTGTGCGGCAGGTCTGGGGTACCGCATGTGCTATTGCCGATCAGCGTTGAGACTTTACTTTACTTGGTATGCAAGCTCTAATGGCCAAATGTCGCCATAACAAATTCCTAAAAGAAACCAGTAATGGGGAATTCGCCCTTTTCTCTGTCGAAGAATCGACGAATTTGGCAAATTAGCTAAACAGAAGTGTTTTCGCAGCTCATTGAATTGATTCGAACAAAAGCAAAATTTGCAACAGTCAGTTCCAACATGTGACCTCCACTCTCTGAAGCAAAGCGCTTATCCACTACACCACCGCATGCTCGGCACTGCTGAGTATTGCCTTTCGAACTAGTGCGAACAATGCAGAGGATAAATGGCCCGTAACTCCCTTCGCGAACCGTTCCGTAAATTTCAAGGGCAGATTTGCATCCGGCGCGACCCAAGACACATC